CAAAGCATGGGTCAATAAGGCTTGGATTTGGTTTAAATTGATCATATGAAAGATGAATTTGAGTTTAGAATTGAAATTGTGGAGGATTGGGGCCAATTTGATGAACATTTGAAGTGAATTTGGGGAAATTGGGCCTTAAGGCCTTTAAAGGCAATTTGGGGGTTTTGATCAAGATGGTCAAATTGGTCAATTGAGTTCAATTGAAGAGTCCAAATTGGTTTTAGAGACACTTGAAGTGATTTTGGATGTTTTGGGAAAGTTTGGCCACCAAGGGTATTTTTGTAATTTTGGCAATTTAAGGGTATTTTGGTAATTGTGGGTAATTTTGGTCATTTCAAATGGTTTGAAATGATTTTTGAACAAACTTAGGTATTTTGGGTGAAATTGAGAATTTTGGTCAAATTTAGGGTTTGGGGGTGTTTAGGTATTATGGGTGGATTTGGGGGGCACAAGGCCAAGTTGGATATTTTGGTAGAATTGGGGTGTCAACCATCTTGTATGAGCTATGCACCAATAATGGATATTTTGGTAGAATTGGGGTGCCAACCATCTTGTATGAGCTATGCACCAGTAAAATTCCCATTTGGGTCCTCTATGTACTGGTCTTAGCTAAACCCTTGCTTAGGGTCAGTGGGTATAGGGGACTATTTACATGAGACTTCCAAAAGATTAAGGGATCAAAGTCAACAAATTTGGGTTTAAGGTTGCTAGTGGATATTGGTCGTGAGTGTAAGTGAGTGAACTAGCTCCAGACCAACACCCAGGGTCAGCCCTACACCCAAGCAATCCTATGGGGACTCTCCTTGAGATCCTCCATACTGACCCCACCTACTAAGTGCTAGAGGTTAGGACCAATATGTGGAACTTCAAGTTGAGTAAGGAAGAGTTTAGAGTTTCTAAGAGTGTGGGTTCCTTTTCTAGTTTTCTAGGAATAGTCATCAGGAAAACCCTATGGCTAGACCCTAGGCTACTAAAGAGGGAAAACTAAACCTCAACCAAAAGTAAGGTCAATAGATTTTTGCTATGATGAATAGATGATTATGTGCATAGGTTGTTGTAGATTATTTTGATTGTTACCAGGCTGTCATAGTAAATTTTGGATGTGTTAACTCTCTTTTGCAAGGTTTTTGTTATTAGAATGGTTAGGCTATTGTAGTAACCTTGGGTTTACTTCCTGTAGTGTTTTTTCTTTTTTTTTTCTAGAGTTAGGGTGTGTTTTAATTAGTTATCTATCAACATCTGAACCATCCAAAAGCGATTAAACACTAAAGTAAAAGAGGAACTTCAACTAAACCAACAACGTTACTTCTGATGATGTCGATTGACGAGTCTGATGTGGGTCTAGAAATGGTACCCATTAATTATCTTTTGTATTGTTTATGTTTTTGTTTGATAGGACTACTCACATTTTTAGGTCGGTGTATTGTTGTGCTATTTGCCAGAGTTTGTTAGTAGACTCGCTAAGGACTAAATTTTATACTGAAACATGACAACTTATATTTTATTCAAAAACTAAATGAAACTCATAATAAAAGCTACAACTATATAAGACACTGTATTTACAACCTTAGAAACATCATGCATTTAAAATAACCAAATTAACGTTAAATAAAATGAATTAATAACCTTTATGATTTAGGAATAGTCATGGGAAAATCACCATAGGCCCGTGCATAATCATATTGCTTCTTTCCCTTATATTTAGACCCTCAATCATTCCATGAAAAGAAGTGGTCTATTCTATGAGAATCATCTTTTTATAGAGTGAGTCTTCCTTTACAATCTAATTAGCCTTATGATCACATCCACTAAGCATTCATCATCAAGGACCTGCACAACCTATTATACAGTCTGTTATGATTCACTAAACACTAAAAGTTAACCACCAAAAGTAATAAAATATATGAGTACTAGAAGCTTTAAAATATTTAAGTTTTTAATTGTAAAAATATATTCACATTATTCTTAGGACATTATACATGCCAGTCATATTTGGGCAGGTTGATTTTATAATCAGGTTGTAAGACTTATTTTTAATAATAAATAATAATATATTCTACCTTGCATACATGGAGATTGACCATACATGGTTTACAATGTGATTAGGTAATTTGGATGATAACCCTTTCCATGCAGGATTATAAGTTCATTGTATATGTTTTGTTTGTGTTATTTTTCTTTCTTTAGACCAGCTTTCCAAAGTTACACTTTTTCTAGTGAACTTTGCCTTAGGTTTAGGATTCTAAGGTCTCCCATCTAGTTACAACATAAATTTGCATCTCTTAGGCTTTCTCACAATTATATATCGTGCGATCTAAGTCCCACACTTTCTAATAAAATGTCATATTGAAACATCGAATAAATATCTCTTTCAAAACTACTAAAACCAAATAATAAGATAGTTAAGATGTCACTAAGCTTCTCAGTATCTTCAACATCTCCTACTCACTTTCTTTGAGTTCCAATAATAACTATTCCGTTTTTGAGTCTTTCTAATTTGGAATTCCTAATCACCAATCATGGAAACCTAAACTTAGAATTTTCATGAAGACAAAACCATAACCTTAATCTAGGGACTTCTTAAGTAAATTTGGTTATTTAAGATGTAATTAACTATGATGACTTACCCTTATTTAGGAAGTTTATACCCCTGATTTAATTTAAATCATATCTAGTCTTCAAATTAGATTGAAAAAATGATTTTTCGGTTTTAAATTGTAGACCAATGCAAATATCCAAGATTAATTAATTTAAGTAATCAAACTCATTAAAAAATGTTATTTTTATATCTTGAGATAATATACTACTTTTGATGTCGTGTTTGATTAATTATATAATCAAATATTTAAATATGTATGGATTTATAAAGAAAATCTCATCCCTGTCAAAAAATAAAACTGAGAAATGGCTCGACGCAAATCTTATATCGCCCTTATGTGGATCATGTAGCTGCCCTTGCAGGGATAACTGTTGAGACTCGCTATTGGGGATAGAATCTTCTCTAGAGTTATATCGAAATTTAGCTTCGAGATAAGTATTTTAATGCTTCTCTAGAGTTATATCGAAATTTAGCTTCGAGATATTTTAATGATTGGCGTTGTGGCTCAGTCTTCTTGTTAGGGCATTGATTGGACGTCTACAACACCCTTGTCGGACATCTTTATTTTTTATATTGATGTCGAGTTCGCATCTTAAACTTTTCAAGGTCTAAATTATCTGGTCAGATTATCATCTCGGTCGAATTATAAGCCTTCATGAGGGTAACTGTCGAGATGTCCTATTGGGGCATTTTGTGCCTTGCCCTTCACGAAATTTATTGCTATCAAGTAGGGAGCAACCTCTACAGCATTATCTGATTGAAACTAAGATACCAAAAAATTTTGATGCGGACGTATTGTGGAATATTCTGGCTCTCAGACCTCTTTATGGTTGTTATCGTCGTGATTTCTTTAGATTCAACTTCCCAAAGTATCAATTGGACCAAGGAGGGTACTAGAGAAATTCATCATAACATTAGAAAAATTTTCTAAATTATACGTTCTTTATGTGTTCATTAGAGTGTCAACCGTCTAGGACAGGCCGAGTAGTGCGCTAGTATGGTTGGTCGGTTTGTTTCGATAGTCGGTAGCCAAACATCCATTTTGAGGTACTCACCTCCTAGCCAAAGCCTTTAGGAATATGAAGGAAACATCGTTTCAGGCTCCAGATCCATTGCATGAACTCCTTATCTTGCTTCTTATTTAAGAATTTTTGTAATTCATTTCTCATTGTTGGTGTTACTTCCCTTCTTATTGGTAGCATGCTCCACACTGACCTCACATTTTAAGATGTTAAATCCAAATTTTCACTTGAGGTACGCCCAAGAATTAGAGCGTTACATATCTCGAGGTGGAAGTGGAGAAAAAAAAAGAGGAAGAAATAAAAGAACACACATATACTTGCTCCATAGGGGCGAAATGGGCTATTCTTGGGATCTATGAGTTATATATTGTAATTAATATTACAAGAAAAAGAAGGGAGATAAATCACCTTATATATTATAGGTCTAGTAAGAAGAGACAAAAAAACTTTTTGACATGTTATGAAACTCCATTTTTGGAAGATAGAGGATCATAAAGTGGAAAATTACATTCGGTTTGGGTGTCTCTTTGGTCGGTCGACAGCCCTTCGGTCGGCTAGTTGCCGGTTAGCTGGTGGTTCTCTAGCCATTTAGCTTTATGAGTACTTGTAAGTTTTCATTAGGGGAATATTCTTTGATTCATCTCTTTTGATCCGGATCGTCAGATCTTCTCGAGATTCTTGCATGCATTTTGGGTGTATAGACTCGTTGTTATATTCTCTACTTGTCTTTCATTTTATCTTGAGGCTCAGTCGGCTTTGGCCTTACTGGCTAGGTTCGAACCACTACACTCGGTGTGACATGTTATGGACCACTAAATTCTCTTATAGACCAGTATCTCTTCAAGGTCAGTATTCACAATTTTGATGTACACCAACAAATATCATATCAGACGGTGAACGTGCTATGTTAGGCTTATGCCATATTAGCCTTTTATTTTCTCATATAGATATATTTGATATAAGAACATCTCAATTTTTCTTTTTCTCTATCATTGAATCATGCAGTATTTATCAGAGTTTATTTGTCACCGAGAAATGTATATGCAAGTGATAATTTGGTTAAATAATTTATGTTAGTTTATAATTGGAAACCGTAAACTCGGAAAAGGCTATTTACAATTTATTTGACTTGAAAAGTGCAGAAATGTTCCCGGAAGAGGACAATCAATGGTTGTATTTCCTTTAGACCCGAAGAGCTGGCGATATATTTAAAATTTAATTTATTATTTTCTAATTGAAATTTCCTTCTTCAAGAGCAGGCCGGCCTGCTGTACCAAACCGGGTTCCTATAGCCCGGTCTGAAAGAACTACAGTGATTCACCGATCGGTCCAAAATCAACTACCCCTAGAGCGAGGTTTACCAATCGAACGGCTTCAACGCACAGCACGCGCGACACATCCGCGGAGCGTTTGCTCATGCGAGTCGCACGATTTTGTCCCCTTTTGTATGAACAGCTCCCGACGAAGCGAGGAGTGACATTTTTTTCGCAGATAGCGGAAGGTCGAGCTAGGTACTCTTCCATACCCCATTTTCTTTAGTAGCTCCGCCCTCACTCGCCATGTAGGGCTTTCTAGGGTTTTATTTTCTTCCATTTTCCGCTCGCTGTTTGTTCGTTGCAACTTATCGTGAGTTTGAGAGTCCTGCTAATAAATGCTATTTTTCTTGGGAATTGGCTTATTTTTGAAGCTACTGCCTTATCAATTGGCTTTATTTGCTTTCGTATGCTACTTTTTTTTGGGATTCTGCGTTTACGAGGAATTGTATAATTATACTTTAAAATTCACTATTTTGTTGGAATGGAGTTTTTTTCCTTGTTCACAAATTAAGAGAAGCGAATTTACTACTGTTTGGAGTTCAGCCTCATCAGTTTCCGGCGATGTGGAGTTTTGTTAATGTTTAATGTTTTTCTTGACATCATCGTGTTTGGGTTTACTCTATTTGCAGCTGAAGTGGAGTTATTCACTGATTACAACCCTAATTTGAATATCCTTAAAGCTTCTTTTTATGGTTTAGTCTTGAAAGGAATTTTTTACGGTGAATTCAGGTCGCTCAGGGGTTGTAGCTCCCATATATATGTGTAAGCTTAATCATGTATTTGACATTTACAGTAGACATAGAATCTGAATTGGTGCATGAATCACCGATAAGTTGCCTTTTCTTTTATATTTAAAAGTTAAAAAAATGTATAATGCCTACAGTAATCCTTTCCTTAAATTATGTTAGGAGGACATTGTGCTAAATCGATCAGCACTGTCATTGCTGGATGAACAAGGCATTTTGTAAACACTTTAAGACATTTATATAAAGAGCATGAGATAAAGTTTTTAAACAACGTGCCATTACTCAAAATCATGATTTATCGTAAGGCTAAATTTCACTTCTATTGTATATTTTTTTAACGAATTATTTTACTTTAAATTGAATTCCCCATTCATTTTTGCATGAAGAGCTCCTAGTACAATTCTCTTACCCTCTTCCCCAGATGCACACACAATCTTCTTCTTAGCAAGGAGCTGCAGAGCTCTGGTAACTAGTTATTAATTAGTTTTTTGTAGGAATCCAAAATGTATAGTTTCTGATGCAAATATCAATCCCCTAATAATGGTAAAGAGCAAATATGGTAAAGTGGTTTGCCCTACAGTTTGTGCCATCGGCATGGCAGTGGTGGTATCCATGGTAATCAATTGGTTTCTGTCAAATTGCAGAGATAGTCAAACAGATCCAAACTCTTTGTTGAAAGAGAAGGGTGGCTGCCTTGCTTCAACTCAACACCAGTCACAATTCTCATCACTCAGATCCAAACTCTTTGCTGAAAGAGAAGGGTGGCTGCCTTGCTTCAACTCAACCCCAATCACAATTCTCATCACTCTTTTCACAAATGATTTTTGGTTTCTCATTTATTCTCTTAAATATTTTAACCATTTTGGTTCAATGGAACAAATGATTTTGTCAAATTTTCTTCTAAACATTTATTCTGAGAGAACTGTTATTAACATATAATAGCGGCTTTAATTTTCATTGTGATTCAATGACACAAATGATGTTTTTATAATTTTTTCTTCTAAACATCTTAATCTGGAGAATTGGTGCTAACATTAATCGTGCTTCTAAATATTCTGAAAGGCGGGGTACATGAGCCTTTGGCTTTCTGTCTCATTTTAGTTAAAATAAGCACTAAGATATCTAACTAGAAAAGCTTAATTTGTATACAGTAAGTATTTGGGAGAAACTATACTGTCAAATGTCAACTTCGACTTGTACCATAAGCTAGAGTATTGTGCTAGCTGCTGCCAATTTCTACTCTTTTCTTATAGACACAAATAATTATCCAAAGGATATTTGGAAATTTTATTCTCTATAGAATTTTACCTTTTGCCACAGGGTGTAATTTGTCCCTTTAAACACTATCCGTCATTTTCTATGTGCCATAAAATTTACTTGTGAGGAACGATAACAACAAGCTTCCTTAGAAAACCTATTTGAAGAGGTTATTGTGTGCCGTCTTCAGTAGTTTAATTTGCATTTACCGTTTTGGAGATGCCAGATACTGGCAAAGTTCCAGTTCTCTATGTGTCATAAGTTAGATATTTTGTTTAGTGGTCATTAATTTCTATATTTTTTCAGGGTGAACCAGAGTCATCTTGAGGGGATTTGGAAAATTAATATTGCACGGAGTAGGTTTTATTGGTTTAGCTTGCACTAAAAATTTATTCTTTCTTCTGTTATCCATTCAATTTTTTCTCATCATCATTCTCACATGATCACACTCTTTGTCATAATCAATCTAAATATGGGAAAATGTAACAACAAATGCCATTAGAAATCCTATTTTCATGGGTTATTGTGTGCTGAACTGGAAAAGCTTACGTTGTATATATTTTTTGGGATAAGCTAAATTATGGAAACGCTAAAGCTTTCTCGGTACCATAAACAATATGTTTAGATTAGGAACTGACAATTTCTATATTTTTTGGAATATCCTCATATAGTCATTTATTGGGCATGTTATTTAAAAAATGATCTTAATTTATTAGAATTAAATGAAAAATGCCACTCAATAAGACATAATGGAGAAAAACGATTTATGTAGGCGACGTCACTTATTGGGATAAAGGCTTGTTGTTGTTGTTGTCATTTTATTGAATAGTATGCCTTCAGTGATAACTTGTATAATTTTAAGTTAGATTCTACTTTACTTCCCTCCAACCACACTGCACTGGTTTTTCTATGTTCCAGCGAATGTTTTAAATGGCATATTTTGGGCTTCCTACAAGACAACTAGAGGAAGCGTTTAGAATATGGGGCATATGGCATGCAGGATGAGGCATCTCCCTATGCACGCGTGCATTCCTTTCGCGAGACACCTTTTATATCCTGTAAGTGGAGAATAACTCCACGTGTTATAATACAAGTGACCTTAAATTAGATGATTAGAAAACCCCAACATAATCTAAGCAAATGACTTTTTTTTTTGTTAGTATATTAAACAAATATTAAAAGGCAATCTAATGTCTGCTTTATAAATTCATAAAGTGACTCATATAGCTTTTCACTCATTTGTTGCTCTTTCCCCGAAACTTTTCTTGCTTTTTCCTCGCCAAATCGCTTCCTCGCATACTTGCCTGATTATTGGTTCTCCCACACCATCATGTGCTCACTCGTTCGACGAATTCTTCTTCATTGCTTCTTCTACATCTATTTGCTTGCTTAGTTAATTTCTCATTCACTTCACTCCCTTGTCGATCTTTTTTGGATCTCTTTGTCTCAATTAACTTTCTAATTGGAGCCTTTACTCTTTATCACAATCACACTCACTAATGCCTATATGTTGTCTCTTTCATTCAAGAAGCTGAAGGCCTCAACTCTTTGTTGATTCATTTTAGTGGCTGTCTAAAGCTTGTTATAAGGGTAACTTCATATGTTATTTAGCAGTTTTTCTGGCCTTTATTATTTGGATGATATGTCTCTTTGACCTTTTCAGATCTAGGGATTCGGATGTTAGTTTATTTTTTCATATTTAGATGTTTGTATAATATACTTTTGTTTGACCCCCTCTCAACTAGACACTTGATTGTGTTTTTTCTGCTAATATTTTATGATTATGTTATTATATGTTGGAGTTTTAATATGAATGAATTGGTTTTGGGCTTAAAAATATTTCTTTGATTTGAATGTAATCATATTTTTTTTAGTTATGGATTATTTAAAATATAAATTCATGGGTTTTCGTTGGTATAAGTAAAACACTGTAATTTATTACCTCTATTTCTTAAAGCATATATTTGGGGAAAGGTAACAACAGTTACCTTTATAAAATTTATTTTCAGTTTGTTACTGTGTGCTTACTAGAATAGTTTAATTTTAATCTACTGTTTGGGAGAACGAATAAGATAAGATCCAAGTTTTCTATGTACTATAAACCAGTTGTTCAGATCGGAAGCAATCAAATTGTTTGCTTGTCTGGATACCCACTCAGTCATTTAGAGGACATCCGAAAGATATATACTCCATGGGGTATGTCTTTAATCTTGGCTGATAACATGCATGGTTTTATTTGCACTGCAGGTTATTGTTTTTCCTTCTATACACTATTCAGCGTTCTTTATGTTACATAACCAATTTATTTCTAGGAAAAGTGACAGCGAGCACCTTTAGAAAATTTGTTTCCTTTTCCAACTTTATTCACATGTTCTATGGGTGTAGGTTGCTTGAATTTCTCTTCTGGTTGTATGTTGTAATAGCACAGCTAAAAACTGACGCTCCAATATTAATGACTACTCTTAATTTGTCTGTTCAGGTTATTCACTTTGATGATATCTCTCAATGCTTCTTTGTTTCTAGTTCTATTTTGAACGGCTTTTGTAGGGTAAATCTCATTCATACGGGAAAGTGCAAGTTCATTCCTTTAGTAGTAAGGTTTGTTCGCACCTGTCTGTAAGTATATGTGAATTTTTGTTTATCCATTTGTATGCATGCATGCCTTCTGTTATTCTCCTTGATTACTTTTGGCAAAGATTTGTTGCTCTGTCTGTATGTATATATGCATATGTGTGTACATGTATGCATGCATGCACACCCTTTTTTATTGTAGTAGTGCTAGATTTGCCCATGTTGAGGTAATTTTCTGTTAATGAAGTTATGTTCCAAGGCTTCTTCATAGCCTTATATTTTTTACCCCGACCAAAGTGGATTTTCTTATTTTTTTTCTTAAATTTGCATTTCTTTGTTTTTTTTTTTGAAATATTCAATTTCACAAAAATTTTTCCTAAGGAATTTATTTTTTTCTATTAATAGTTCAGGCTAAGGAGTTGCACTTAAAGTTATCACTTATAGTGCTTTTTGAATTTTGTGCTTGTTCTGTAAAATATGCTGGTTTAGTTCTTGTTGAACATTTTAAGTTCAGCATATCCGCTATCCAGATATGCGATGCAAATACTTGAGATAATGTTTATGGCAGTGATGCTGAAATCGGCTGTCTGGATGGTATTGTTTCTAATGGTTTAATGGTTTTAATTTCTTGTAATTGTCCCAGAAGTGGCTTTTTATTAAGTTTTATTTATGCGATTTCATTAATAGAGCATTCCTTATGTAGTAAGATCCTGCATTGTTTCATTTTTTGTGGTTGTCGTTGTCAATGCTGATGAAGATTGTATTTTTAACAGGAAATGCATTGGAATGTTTAACAAAATTACCTATCCTGATGTTTAGTACTTTACTAATTAAATGAGCATCAAGTGATAATACCAGAAACATGAGTGGTACATCTAGAAGGTCGCATGAGGATGGAGGGCACTCCACTCCTATTAAGAGGTCACATGAAGAGAGTAGTATATTCTCTGGTCTTTCGGGAAAGACAATTCAACCACTTGCTAATGATTTTCACTTGCCTTATGAACCTGGGCTTGATGGACGACCAGTAAAAGTCCAACGCATTGAACCTCGGGACAGTGATAAGAGGCCTTTGCATAGAATGTCTTCTTCTCCCAACCATGGTGTGGATCATCCCACTACTTCTGAAAACAGGTCAGAACTGAGAGCTTCCAAGGAAGCGAGAGATGTAAGGACTGTAATCAGGGAAATAAAGTCAGACACCAGAGATTCTTGCATTGATATAAAGATAGATTTACATGTCAATAAGGCTGACAGTGATGCAAGAGATACAAGGGGTGATGAAAAAGAATTAAGATCAGATAGGGGTTCTTATAATGATTTTAAGGGTGTTGTTAAATTCGAAAGAGATAATTATGCACCATCTATGTCTCATACAAGTTGGAAAGAGAGCAAAGATTATCTTTGGCCTAAGAGATATACAGAACCTTCTAATGAGAGTATGGAGTCATGGCGAATTGCAAGGCATTTGCAAAACACAATTGAAGTTGGGAAGGATCAACTGGCAAGAGCTGAGGATAGAAATCCTTTGGGATCATATGAGGGAGTTGCTGAGAACAAGGTTGACTTGAAAACCGAAGATAAACTCAGGGACAAGGACAAGAAGAGGAAAGATGATAGACAAAAAGATTTTGGAGAGTGGGACAAGGATAGAATTGACCGAAGAGGAAGCACTCAGCTTGGTGAAATTAACAATGAGGGCAAGGAATTGAAGGAAGACAGAGAATTAGAGAGATGGGAGAGGGAGCGAAAGGATGTTCCAAAGGACAAGGAGCACAATGATTTGGAGAAAGATCATGTAAAGAGAGAATCTCCAAATTCTAATGAAAGGGAGAATTCACATTATTTGAAGGAAGGACATGAAGCATCCATAAAAATATCTGATCAGGTGATTTCAACATTTGATCCTAGGAGGCCTAAAGATGATGGTTGGAAAGGTTCTGATAGGGATCTCAGGGATAAAAAAAGAGAAAGGGATGCAGATGTTGGAGATAGATATGTCCAATCTGGTAAGTGTTATGACAAGGACTTGGATGATGGTGCTGAAGGAGATGGAGTTTTTGAGAGGGATAGAGATGCTTTTGGTTATGGCATTCAACAACGAAGGAGAATGCTCCGATCCAGAGGCACAACACAACCGACTCATCGAGAGCCTCGTTTTCGATCTAGAGCTCGGGAACATGATGGGTATGGTTTTCAACTTTTGTGTGGTATGCAATTTGTCTTCTTATAAAGTTTGTGATATGTATCATAGTTTTTGTTTTCTTGTTTTTTTGGGATAAATCCTGCTTACCAAGTTTGATACTTGGTATGCATATTAATAAGTTGCTTTTTTTTCCTCAATCGCTTGAGTAACATTAACTTTCTGGCTTGGTTTTTTTCATTGTTCAATTATGAGTTCTACTTGCAGCTCGACTACCTTGTTTTGTATTTTGTTTCTTATTATTTGATTAGATTTGAGCACTGTTAGAATCATTAACTTAATTTTCTGTTTTTTTAAAAAAAACTATTTTCCTTTACAGTATTCTTTTTCATTTTTAAAACTTCTAAAACCAGTGAGCATGGTTGGTTTGTTAGTAAATATAACATGCATACATTTGAAAGAGCAAGAAGTCAGTTTAGTTTTCATGATGAGAAATTGCTGAAAGAGGGTTGTGATGCTAGAAACCACACAAAACATCATTTATAACAAAATTTATTGTCCTGGGTGACCAAGGATGTATTCATGAGACTGATCTTTTCTATTGTCTGAAAATTTATGTAGTTGTTTCTGGGTTGTTGCATGAGACTTGGTGATGTAGTAGAAGTGTACTATTTATAACAGGTTATTGTTCATTTCTATGCTCATTTGAGTAGAAATTACGACACTCATGGTTTGACACATAATTTCAACCTGTTCCTGTTTAAACTGTCTTTATTTGGTGGTTGCTTCTCTTCTATTTGATGAGAATGCCGTGCCAAATAATTTGTTGATTGCAATAATTTACTGCATATCTTTTATCCTAAATTTTGATTTTGAGATTATTATTATTATTTTTTTTCATTTGTTGATTTTAGCTACTACTATTCTGACAATTTATTTCCCGTTTTTTTCTTTTCAGATCCCAAGGTGAGTCTGTCAAATGACTTGCTTCATTTTTGAGGACCTTGATGATGCAAACAGCTGTTTCAATTTGGATATGAGTGAAACATTTTTACTGATGAAAATCATCTTTTTTTTTTTAAGGAAATTTGTTCATGCTTTTTTTTTTGGAGATCAAATTGACAAAAAATGAACAGACAAATTTTATTTCCTTTTTACTCATAAAGTTGTTTGGATTTGTTTATGAAGATTGCTTGATCCCCTAGAAATGCATTTGTCGTAAATACGTGGTAGAAACCTTTATTTAGAGGTTAGGCAGAGCAGTGCTTTGTTTGCCTTCACTGTGATATTAAATTTACAGGCTTAATCATTGAACAACCTCTTTGTAATACTTAGAGAATGTTGTACACTTTCCCTAGACCCTTAACAGCAAAAAAAGAAAAATGCATTGGGTACACCTTTTTTTAAGAACTTTTATTAGTCGTGTTAATTAGTATTGTGTGATAAGATGATTGTAGCATGAGCAATAGTTCTTCTACATTAAGTGGTTTCACATATTGCTACTTTTAATATTTCTTAAGAGTTGAATGTTCTTATAATTTTGGGAATAATGGCAACTATTTCTTGCTGGCGCAATTTTTTAGAAGGAATTTAAGATGGTGAAATGTCACTTGAACCGATACTACTTTAGAAGTTTATCATTTATCTTTAGGGATGAAGTTTTATATATTTTTATAGATACTAGCAAATTTTATATTGAATTTCTCATGGCACATAATAAAATGCTGATCCCATGATCCTAGCCTCATGAGGTTTGCGAGCCATTCATGACCATCGTAGGGTTGTTATTATTGATCTCATATCAGTCCAAGCTTTCAACATTGTTAATCTTCTGATTTGTATACATGCAACTGTTATGATTCACATGCCTTTCTCATTTTCATATGTTTTGCGGACTTACCTTTGCAATCTTATCCATCTCTAATGTTGTCTTCTATTTTTACTTCGAGATAAGTACCTTCAAATTATGTGAATTGTGATTGGTTTTTGTTTCGGAACAATCATTGGCATATAACGTACAAACCTTTGGCTAAATAAAAATTCTCACTATTTAATCTTGTACTTTGGTTGGATTCTGGTTCATTTGAGTGCGATGTAAGGGAAAATATTAATATCTTGGGAAATTCATATACTCATAGCATTTTGAGGCTTGAGTTATCTGTGTTTAATGATCTTTTATTTTGTTCTATCTTTCTTTGCCTATTTTAATATTCATTATTTGAGTGATTGATTTTAATCAAATTGGCTGCAACTATAATTTTTATTCTTCTAGTAATTCTACTTGCATTCTGAGCTCTTAAATGCTTTTAAATTTCTCACTAAATTTCTTTGATCTGGGAAATAATTAATTTATCACGTGTCATGGATTTCATATTTGTGGGTTTATGGAATTGTGATTTTCAACGTTGACGTATGTGGATTCATACATTATTTCATTTAGTTGTGTTAAAATCTTTGACGCTAAGAGATTTTGCATAAAATGGGTGTCAGAATTCATTTTTGCCTCATGTTGTTCATTCAATAAAATATTAAAAGTTATTATTAAAAAAAAAAAAATCAAGTTATGATTACACACAAAACAATATGACAATCATGAGGTTCAAAAGTATGGTGCTATATTCGATATGTGTAAAGTGGATTTTTAATTAGAAGACTTTATTGAAAGATACGATATGCTATTTTAGAGAGGTGGTTGTGCCAAATCAACAACAGTGGGATATGCTCAATATTTTTGGCAAAGTATTTGCTCTATTAATTCACACGAGCTTATATGAAACATTAGCTTAAAGCGTAATGTTTTGGTTCGATGAATGTAGGGGCCAATTACATGATCAATTTACTGTTGGTTGTAAGTGCACAGTTTTGCATATTTTTGAGAATGCAATGTGATGCAACACTATCACATGAGATAAATGCAGCAACCATACGGAAAATGATGAGGATTTATAATTAGAATTATATATTCGAGTTTTTCATTAAAATTTTGTGTAAGACTTTGTTTGTGTTTTCATATTATGAACTTATATGGAATGTTTTAAAAAATTGATTTTCATACTAATTTATTTTGGTTTAGAAGTTGCAAAAAATGTTAAGAATGATGTGGTAGCAAGGGATTAGGGGTTGGGTGAAGGTATCAAGTGGGAAACCCAACTTATGGGTCCACTGTACAAGGTGCAGCTAAAAAAACAGGTCCTAGATTGTCATTAGGCATTTTATTATGAAAATATATATGTAACCTTGGGGGGAAACCACTTTAAAATCTTAGGTTGGGATGTAAATATGTAGTCTATAAATAATCAAGAATTTCTGTGGAGATTTGATTATTTTTTTCTAGATTTCATTGTAGACCTGGTAATGCAGGAATCTAATATGACACTAGGAATTCTTGTTAATGATAGAAAATATGTTTATGTTAATTCTGGAGCTTTTTGCAAATTTTCAAAGGATTTAAGGGGGTAAAGTAGCTAAAGGGTTAATACCTGGTTAAATTCGGCATAATCTTGGCTGACCACTTTGAAGTGGATTTATGGAGGATTTTGTGGGAGATTTGGAGTGAAACAATATGGGGATGTAGATGGATGAAAGATCACGGATTGTGCAGGAAAAAAAAAGGTTTCACAACTAGAAAAAAAATAGAAGTGCAAGGAATAAATAAACTCATCACTGACCAAATCAATAAGGTGGTAGAAGGTGATGAATTCTTCACATTCTTGGGCCACCCACCATGCCTTCATGTCTTCGAAGAAAATTGAAATTTTTTTTTGCAATCAACCATCTCTTTTATTCAACGTAGTGACAAATAAATAAGCCCATACAAAATCTTGAAGTTAATATATGTATTTTTTAAAAGAGGCTCATTCATGGCGGGCTTCATTTTGAAAGGAAGAGGAATGGTGAGAGAGGATTGTTTCTAATATCTTAAAAATTATAAAAAAACATGAGAATTATTTTATTAATTGCTAATTATGCAATTAATTACTTATCTCTTGATTTTCTTATATTTTTCTGAAAATTTAACTTCACATAAAATTTAAATTTAAAAAAATTTCTATATAAATTTATAATATGAAAACATAAATAAAGTCTTAAACGAAATTACAACATTTAAACTTAAATAAATAATTCTAGTTAAAATCCTTATGAATTTCTTTATGGTTGGTTCATCTGCTTCATGTACCTGTGATGCATCGCAATGTTTAGTAAATCTGGTACTGTTGATTTGTCTTGTTTGTTTAGATGCAAAGTTCTTGCAGGGAATTTATTATATTTTAAATTTGATTTGGTGTAATGTTCAGTGTAATTCCATATGATTTAAACAAATAAAATATAAACATCTAACTATCTATTCAAAATAGAAGAAACAAATGAAAAAAACCTATTCTTAAAATAAGTAGCTGGGAACCCTTATCTTAAAAGATCTATTCATAAAATATTTAAAATAAATTGTAGTGATTTGTGGTCTGCGATGGAGTGGGAGGCTAAATCATAGGCCATGGCAATGTGGGATTCAGGTTTGCTGATCAAGGGCTATGCCGGGGTAGTGTTGTAAGTTGGCAGTGCATGGGAGGTAGGTTGCTAGTCTTATGTGGCATAAGAGGTGGAGTTGTAGATCAGGTTTTTTAATAATTTCCGTCTGTATTTTTTTTTGTGTTTAATACTTTACAAAACTAGCTCTTATTTCATTTACTTAATTCCCAATTGTTCAATCAAACATTCCCTTGAGAGTTATAAGCATTGTGATTATAATGTATGTGAGTATTATGTGATGTTTATAGATCTTGTAGCTAAATATTGTTTACCTCTGGTCAAGCATATAGGAATGAATGTAGTTACAATTCTTCACAAAATACCCTGCATGAGATTTTTAATATAAGTTTAGACATTGAGGCATTTTACAATAATTCTATTAGGGCTATCTCACCTATTATTAACACCTCCAATGAAATTCAATATCACCTCCCTATAAAGACTATTGTACACTTTGGCACAATATGTATGATTGAGTTTGATTCTATTGATGAGACTTCACTTCATGAATTTTTTTTTAGGATATGCTAGATGTAATAAATAATTTAAAATTACAGCAATGGGCCAATTATGTCCATTTTAGTTTTTGAATCAAATGAGCAATTTAAAAATGCAACTCTTACGATGAATTATTTGTTATTACTATCTTTATGATGAATGATCAAACTAATTTTAATTTTGTTAGCTATTGATTTTTTTGATTTACAAATTACTAAATAGGAACTTACTGAGAGAGTTAAGTTGCATTAATTTTTCATGAAATTTATCAATGCTGAATGCTTAAAAGAAACGTTAAACTTAGAACCTCAACCATCTGGTCAATTGTAATGTTGCATAACTCAAATTATATTTGAGCAAGTTTGGCTGCATATCATATTTATGTGATTTATCTACCTTAAATTTTCTTTACCATCATTTATTTTAGAAAGAAGCTATATGTTTTTTAATAGTGTTTTGATTCATATATTCATAACAATATTTGTTGGAAATTGACTATCAGTTATTCCCAATTTTAAGTTAAGTGCTCATGTGAATAAGAGATGCGGATTTAAGCTAAGTGATAAATTAATGATGCATTTGAATTGAGAAAGATTTTCTCTATAAGCTCTAAGAAATTAAATACGAGAAACTCAATCATCTAGCACATTAGGATATATGCTTAAAAATTATAAATTCTAGAAAGTTTTGGCATTAACAGTTTTAATATGTCTGAGTTGACATTTTTTGATGAGCATTTAATCATTGTCTTGTGAATTTACATTTTAAGCTGCCATGAAGTTTTACATTTCTCATTCTTGAAGTTATAGTAGATGATAAAATGATGATGTATTTTGAGATATCTTGTGCATCGGCATTGCTCGCAGGTTTATGGTGATTTGTGATTTCATTGTTAGAAATGAAATAATTATGATTTACTTTTCTTAATGAATAAAAAATTT